GATATTTTTTTTATCATTGAGCAGTATCAAAAAGCTAACCTCTTCTTACGATCAAAGTAATGTTGCCCATCGCTGGGCGGCTTCTGGCTCAAAGGGATGGTCGTTCCATCTACAAATCCCACACAGCCAGGAAATCCTTCCTCTCGCATGACCTGAGATGATTCTATTCGTTCAGATTCGGTAGGCCTAGTGACTAAAGAAGATCGTAATCCATAAACAGCATGAATGACTCGTCTAGTATACAGGTCGATCGTTCCAAATCCAACTTGAAACAGATTTTTGAGCCTGTGGATAGCTGAACCGTTTCCATTTGATCCAAGACGACATACTGCTACAGCGATTTGGATGACTGGGTCCCTTTGGGGATTACGAGAGTTGTTGTAGAAGATGGGGTTTGGTTCGATGAGCTGTACCAGGTTGAGGAAGCAAGGGAATGTCATACGAAACATCTGTACAAAGCTTAACTCTGGAAGACCTTGAAGCTCAGACAAGTCATAACGAGGATCGAATCGAGTTGTTGAGTTTCGAGCTGCTAGGTATCGTTTTTGAAGCTGACTCATAGAGAAAAAGTAAAAATCTTCAAGTTCTGAGTCGTGATCTGAATCTGAATCGTCCATCATGGCCATTGCAGCAACATTGGTTGCTTCAATTATTTTCTTTCTTCAAGATACTTTGGGCATGATTGCTTTTGAGGACGAGTGGAGCCGATCTTGGTGTTGATGATGAATGGTTTGGTGGTGGGATGATCGGTGCTGACGATGAGAAGTTTGGTGGTCAGATGATCAGTTTGGTGGTGAGATGACTGGTGCTGATGAGGTGAAGTTTGGCGGTGCGAGTGGAATTTGGCGGTGATATGAGTTGAAACAAATGGGATTTTTTAATTGACTGGTTTGGGTGAAAAGATGTGTGTTTTTTTGTTCAAAACCCGTTGGGGTTGATGGAGGTGGATTTTGGAAACCCGTCAATTAATAATTGTGGATTTCAAAAAAATAAGTGACGGGTTTGCAAAGGTGGATTTGCTATATTTGATACCCCCTAGTATGTGATATGACCTCAATTTGTCCTTGTATCCAATTAGTCGACCCAGTTCTCCCTTGGGTTGTAGTTTTGAGTGTGGTTTTGAGGGTTCAATGAGATATGACACACGATTTCCTATAGGATAGAAGTAAAGTAGAAGAGAGGGAAGGAAGAGACAGTGTAAAAGAATAGAATAATCTTTTTTTGTTCTTTGTTTATTTTATGAAGAAGATTAAATTATGGCAGTCTTACTGTCCCTCTTGGATAGCTGCAGACAGTCTTACTTTCCTTGGTAGGATGGCTGTTATAAGCGGAGCTAACTCTGACGCCTCCAGATCAACAGAAACTGAAATGGGTATTGACACTAATAAATCAGGTCAACCACAATTTTTTAGATCAAAGATCAAGGCTCTTTAAAGGGAAACCTATGTAGTTTTCAGTTGTACTACCAAAAAGGAAGAGAAGAGATAATAGAAGCTAAGGCTTGCTTTCTTTGATCAGGGCTTTGGGTTGAGGTGGAGTGAAGGGAAACTGAGAGAGACAGAGAAGAGAAACAAGCAGAAAGATGCTAGCTTAACTTATGAGAAGAGACTTACTAATGATACCAATGACACTGATTAGTGGGAAAGGTAGGAAAAGTGAGGTCCTTCTGGGTGATAAGTGTTTGCTTGATCTGGGTCTGGTTGTTGGTGTTCTGTGTTGGTCTGGAGTCTGAAAATCCTCTGGAAGCGGAATCAACAAGCTCAGAGAGGATTTTCAAAGTTGGATTATGTAATCTGGCATGTACATGTGGTAGAGGGAGCTGAAACCTAAGGTTGGAATAATTCTTTGAGTACTGTGAATTATTACAAAGTCAGTGAAGGAATGGAGTTGGGTAAAAGTGGTCAGTGGTGACTAGGGTTAATTTTACACCAGGAATCCATTTCTGAAGTCAGAAAGGTTAAAAGTCTTAAGATAAAAAAGATATGATAATATTTTGAATAGAAATGGGTAATTTTGGCAGTCTTTTGGCCAACTTGGTTGGCTCTAAGGCTGACACTCCTTGATTATTTTTTAATTTTATCGAACCGATTCCCTTTATCTTGAGACTGTCTTCTGATGAGCTTGTTTGAACCGATCCTAGGTCTTTGTATTCTAGAGTATGAAAGAGAAGCAGATTTGAAACCATGTGAGCTGATGCTCCCGAGTCAAGAATGAACATGCGAGGTGACCTGAGGGTAGACAATAGAAAACTACTGACAGTTGCCTCGGTTTTGTTGGCGGAGTCCTTTTTGGCAGGTCGCAATTCCGGGTGCAACATCCAACAGTTGGATTCGGAGTGAGAGGACAAGGTGTTATGCGCATTGCGCTTGCATCTTCTGGAGCTGTCAGTGAAGAGAGTAATTGGATCGGATTTGGTACCGTTTCCAATAGCTCGACTTTCGAGGTTGTGCGCATGGAGTCTGAGGTGATCCACAACCGTGTCTAGAGTGATTTCTTTCCCGGTGTGAGTAATGACGTTGGCGATGTTATCCAAACTGGCCGGAAACTTATCCATTACAAGGTGTCCGATGGAATCAGCAGGAAGAGACCAACCAACCTCGATGAGTCGAGTTTTGAAAGTCTTCATGGTAGTGATGAGCCCAGCGATGTCGTTTGGGGTGAATGGGGTACGTAAGAAAGATCTGAATACTCTTGCTTTGTTGGGATGATTCATCAGAGGCAAAGAATTGAGTGATAGACGTCCAGATAAGTTTGGGCGTTGTTCTCATTGGTAGCGTTGATTACATTGGGCTTGTACAGATGACTCGAGTTTGGAAACGAGGATGCTCTTGATAAGCTTGTTGTCGGCATCAGAGAGTATACCGTCGTCAGTTGTGACAGAGATCTTCATGTCGATGAGGTCGAGAAGATTAATGACCCTGCGACGCCAATGAGTGTAGTTGTCCTGAGTTAAGAGAGGTATGCCTTCGATAGAGGTCTTGAGAACGGTGGCGTTTATTTTTTCCATACCGTTAGAGCTAGTTGTTGTAGTAAGCTTCTGGTTTTCTGTTGAGTTGTCCTTCGATAAGCTGTCAGAGGTAATTGGTTCCTTTCCCGTCATAGAAGGCCTGAGCAATCGTTTCGACTGTTAATCGTAAAGAACCTTGAATTGCTTAAAGAAGAAAAACCAGAGCTAACAAAAACATAACAATTAGATAGGAACAGATGATTAGTTTTGAGAAAGAAAAATACAGCATTGCATACCCTATATCTGTTTATAACAGTGACAGACAACTAGAGAAAGAGAACAGGACAAGATATACGCAAACAGAACTGAGAACACGGAATTGAGTTAGCTCATTGATGAAACATTAGACAGTGTGCTTCGATGTCATTTCTCACCAAGTTGACTGACAACGAGACGTTTGATGTTTTGATCTTGATTGGTTGAGAGTGAGGAGAGATTGTGTAGTTGATTCTTCTGAGGTGTGACAGTGAGTGTCTTCGATTGTTGTTGATGGTCGGAAGAATGGAGAAGAATGAAGAAGAGTCGACTGGTCAAAAGGAGCTCAATTTATAGATGAGAAACCAGATGGGATAGGGTTTGAGATCGTGAGAGATATGATTTGAGATGATGATGAATTAGGTTTGCCTGTCAGATGCGGATATGGTTGGCGCAGTATGACAGCGCCGCAAACTTGACTAGCGCAGTCTGATAGGTGTCACAGTACGTTTGTCGAGTTTCAACACCACTTCCTCTACGACCGGTTGGAGCAGTCGAATGCCGCTGGGGACATATCCTCAAGTGTGTCAACAAGTTTGCTGGCTACTATTCAAACGTCGAACGTCGGTTGAAGAGCGTAAAGACTTGTGATGATATTGTATGTTTTTTTTTTCGCCTCAGCCTGTTATGTTTTACAGTTTTTTTCTAACATGATATCTGTCTCATGTGTGATTCAGCTTACGGAGGCTAAAGAACTGTATAAGACCACCTCAGGTTCGCCTTTCAATCTTGACCATTGTTGGGGAATCTTGAAAGACACCCCAAAATGGCAGGCTACCCAGAGAGAGAACGAAGCGCGAGCAAAGAAGTCCCAGAGATTGAGTCCATCTCCACCCTCAACCAACATGTCTAGCTCCACAAACGATGTCTCGAGCCCTACTGCTATTGATGTCAAAGGTGACGAGTCAGAACCCAGTTGATCGGTTCTGGGACAAGTTTGTCTTGAAGGTTCAAAGGCAGCTAAACGAAAACAAGCCGAGGATGCTTTAATCCACAGCATTGTATCCATGCAGAAGGATCTGGTAACAATTTCTTGAGAACGCTTGGCCTCAATGAACACCGTTAAGGATGATGTGATCATGTCAAAAGATCTTTCCTCGATGGACAAGGAGGCCAGAGCTTATTATCAAAGGAAAAGGCGAACAATTATTGCATGCAAGTTGGAACAAGAAGAAAGAGAGAGAAAAGAGAAGGAGAAAAAGGATAGGGAAGAAAAGGAGAAAAAAGAAAAGGAAGAGAAGGAAGAGAGAGAAAAAAAGGAGAATGAGAGAAAAGAGAAAGATGAAGCAGAGGAGGAGGAAGACGAAAATGAAGAAAATGACGGTCAAAACAACTACAATGGCAAGAACAACGACAACGGCGATGCAGAGGAAGAAACTGAAGAATGAAGACACAACTCACTCTTTATACTTTCAACCGGTGATCTGGGGACTTGACAATGATGTTTCATATTTCTTTTCTTTTCTTTCTCACTTGTTTGTTGCATTTGTTTTGCTTATGAAATGCAGAGAGAACAAAAATCAAACATTTATTGCAATTCATTTTTTTTTCTCAAAGACATCTAAGAATATAGTGAGCAAAAAAAAATATAGACAAACAAAAAATTGGAACACAAAATGGTTTAACATTTATTTCAATTCATTTTTTTTAAGAATAAAGTGAGAAAAAATTATAGACATAGAAATGGGTTTAGATGTCCCCATCTGATCCAAATTTGTCCCACAAGTGATTGATAAGGTCTTGCTGGAGGCTTGCTTGGGCTGAAGAATCCCGAATTGATTGATATTGGAGCAGGAACTGCTCAAAACTTGAATCATTTGGTCCATTGGTACTAATTTTTGCCTGCGTGAGGGGTGTTTGGTTGTAGTTCCAGTCGCCATTGAGTGGACTTCCAGATTCATCCTTGATTGTCATGTTGTGGAGAATAATCACCGCAGACATGATGAACGAGAGGTCCTCGTGTTTCCAAAAGCGGCCAGGGAAGCGAATGATAGCATAGCGGGCTTGCAGAACCCCAAACGCTTGTTCGACATCCTTACAATATTCCTCTTGCATTTTGGCGTAATGTTTCTTCTTCACTCCTTGAGGTTGTGAGATCGATTGAATAAGTGTGGCATACGGAGGGTAAATCCCATTGGTGAGGTAGTACGCAAGGTTGTAGGTATTTCCATTAACCTCGTAGGAAACCAACAGTCCTTCACCCTATTGAAGCTGTTCAAAGATTGGTGATCGATCGAGAATATTAATATCGTTGAGCGTCCCGGGCAGTCCGAAGAAGGCATGCCAAATCCAGAGATCGTACGATGCAACAGCCTCAAGCACAACTGTAGGTTCCTTCTCCTTGCCAGTGTAGGTCCCTTGATCTGCAACTGGGCAATTTTTCCAGCACCAGTGCATGCAATCAAGAGAACAAATCATCCCAGGAAATCCTTGCTCCTCGGCAACAGCTAGAAGTCTGGCGGTATCATTTTTGTTTGGTTTTCGCAGATACTCTGGTCCATAGACATCAACAATAGTCTTGCAGAACCTCTTCAAGCTTTCAATCACAGTTGATTTGCCTAAAGTTAAGAATAATAATGCCAAAATGATAAGCAATCCAATCATTATAGAATTTGTTTAGTATTACATTATTACATACCAATACAAAGATACTCGTCAACAGAGTCGGCACTACATCCATATGCTAGCATTTGCATGGCAGCCGTTGCCTTTTGAAGAGCCAAAAACCCCAATCGTCCAGCGGCATCACACTTCTGTACAAAGTATGTATCGGCCTTTTCAACATCTTCAAAAATTCGGAGGAACAGACTTTTTTGCATCCTAAATCGGCGACGGAAAACCTCAGGGGGATACGTGGGGTCCTCGTCAAAATAGTCCTTGTATAATTGTTGGTGGCCTTCGATCCGGTTCTGATAAATATCCCTCCTTCCAGGTGTTGACCCACCTCGTTTTTTTTTCTCCTTCGTCTTGAGTATTGTTGAGTTTTCGATTCTTCTCTGCGCACGATGAGAAACTGCGGAGCTGGCGCACCAACCGGTTAGGGTTTGGGACCGAATCACTGTGTTCAGAACACTGCGATACAGACTCGAATCCTTCCTCAACCGACCGAGAAATAGCCCGGTTCAACTTCCTCAAGACTATCCTGCGACCGATAATCATCGATCATCAATAAAACGCCTCAAGTAACTCCTCAAGCTCATCACAGGAATAATTATTCTAGTAATGTAATTGCCGGACGATGTTCCTCTCTCGAGCCGACCTGAATTTTGACTTCATTTTCTTTTTTTCTTTTTTCTTAGATTGAGCTTTCTCCCTTCCTTTATCTCCCCTTTTTTCTCACTCTCCGTATCGAATTCGAATACGTCTGCCTTATCGTTTGTTCTCTCTTCTTTATATCATTCTTCTCTTCTTTTCTTTCTTCTTGTGTTTGTTGTCGAAAGAACTAATTTCTTCTTTGTGTTTCTTATTCTTCATTCTTTTGGCTTCTTAGCTTCTCTTAGCTTCTCACTGTCATCTCCTTCGATTCCTCTACAAAAAAGTCCTCTGTCATTTCTTCTCATTTATATCCGCGGTATGCTCTCTTTCTCACTTCTTTACTTAAAATCTTTGTCTCTTACTGGTTGCTGTTTCTAATTCTCATTTTTGTTCTTCAGTTCTGGTTTCAGTTTCATAGGAAATAAATTCAAATTTCTTCACGATTAACAGTCGAAACAGGAAACGCTGTCGACCTTTGACGAAACTCGAAACCAGAAGCCGATTGAGACAAGATGGATGCCGTTAACCCGACCATCTTAAAAATGACTATTGAGGCCATTCCGACTCTGACGGAGGAGAATTTCTCCAGTTGGAGAACGAGGATCACCGCTCTCTTCAAGCTAGGCGGTGTGAAGGAAAATATGATAGAAGGAGAACCAGCTCTTGAAGACAACGATAATACGATGCTCTGCGCTATCATAATCGCTAAAATATCTCCAGCTACTCACGAAAATGTTGTGAATGCGACTAATGAGGTAGACGCACAGCTTCTTTGGAAAGCTATCATGAAGCGTTTCATTTCATCGGAACCGTCCAATCGAGCTCGAGTATACAACGCGTTCGCAAACATCACCTTCGATTCCAGTAATATTGAGAAATTCATAACCGATGTGAGAAGCTCCATTGTTAAGATGGAAAATGTCGGAATCACTCTCCCCGAGGACATCATCACCTACGACTTGCTCAGAAGATTACCCTCTAGCCTGGACAACATCAAGCAGACTATCACTCACTCTAGAAACGGCGAGGATATCAAGCCCGATGCCCTGTTGGATCATCTCGAAATCCACTTGAACGAACTCAAGGTATCGTTGGCCGGCAAGTCTGAAACCATCACCGCCACCATGTTCACTAAAGAGGACCCAAGATGTGTCCCTGGAATGCATAACCCATACGCCAAGTCTCATCCTAAGTCCGAGTGTTGGAAGGTCTACCCCGAAAAACGAGAGGCCTATCTGAAGAAGAAAGAAGAATCTCAAGTTAGCTCTTTTTCCACATTCTCACTCAGTCACCCTTCAGTATTCATTCTTGACTCGGGCTCAACCTCACACATGATATCTGATCGAAACCTCTTCACTCATCTAGATGAAAGCGAAAGCGGGATGATTAATACGAGCTGTGGAATGAGTACCCTAAAAATAGAAGGAAAGGGATCGGTCGATCTAGTGTTCAAAGGAAGACCTCTTACTCTTCACAATGTCCTACTTGTACCTAGAATTACTGTCAATGTTCTCTCTCTACGCCATCTTCTCTTAGAGAAATGCACCATTAATTTCTTGATCAACCATTTCACTATCATCAAGAACGATGAGATCTATCTCGAAGGATGTTATCGACACAACTTGCCCATCCTTGAGCTTCTGCCTCCCACACAACGATCACACTTAAGCTCAGCCGAACTTCTTCACAAATCCTTAGGTCATGTCAGCTACCGAAGAATAAGACAAAAACTGGGAATACCCGTAAAAGCCCCTGAAGTGTGTAAGACATGCGCCGTTGTTAAGGTAACCAAGTCGTCATTTAAACATCGATCCTCTTCGGCATCCAAGCCTCTGGAAGAGCTCCACCTTGACCTTATCGGACCTATAGCTCTAATGTCTCACAAGAAGCACAAATATATCCTCACTGTTGTAGACGCAAACACTAGATTCGTCGCCGGCTTCCCGATGATTTCCAAAGGAGATACGTTCAAGACTCTCACTCATGCCATCGATGTTGAAGCAAAGAGGCTCGGGTACTACCCCTCGATATTGCACTCAGACCGAGGGACAGAATTTGTGAACTCAGAACTTCAACAATACTGTCTTGACCATGTTATCCAACAGCGGTTCTCAGATGCGTACACCCCTCAGCAAAACGGATTGGCAGAGAGATTCAACCGAACAATCTTGGAATCACTTCGGACGATTATCTTAGACTCAGGACTAAGTCCAAAGCTATGGAATGAGATCCTAAGCACCAGCACTCTTACTCTGAATCAGATCCCCACTCATCGCAGCAAGAAGTCACCATACGAACTCTTTAAAATGAAATCTATTCCTATCGATTTCTTTAAACCTTTAGGAAACCCTTTGGTCGTTGTGTCAAACAAGGTGAAATCCAAACTAGAACCAAGGGGCGACTTCGGAAAACTTCTTGGGTTCAACGTCGATCTCAAATCCTACAAAATCTTAATGACAGATGGGAAGATTCTCGATACAAAGAACGTGCAATTCCTCGACTTCGATACTTCCATTTCGCCGTCAACAGACCTGAATGATCTGATTGACGAACAACAGATAGAAAAGGGAGAGAAGCAGGAACAACCACCGCTTGAAGAAAAAATCGAAGATGATAAGGAAATCAATGTCAAGGAAGAAGAGGAAGACTCCGATGCCAACGATAACTTCCAGTCTCTCAACTCCGATTCGTCCGGAGATGAAATAGACGTGGCTGAAGCTCTGATTCCAGATGCAGAAGCACCTGTAGGCCGAATTCTGAGGGACCGAACTCTTCAAATAAGACCTGTCAAATATTCACATTTCTCCGAGCAATCGTGTTTCTCGAATGATCCAAAATCATTTAAGAGAGCAATCACTGGCTCCAACTCTGAAGAATGGAAGATCGCTATTGACTCCGAGCTGAATAACATTGAAGATCACGAGGCCTGGCTTGATCATTGGAAAAAACCTGAAAAGAATCTTGACACCACCTGGGTGTTTAAGACGAAACCGGCCACTACCTCATCTCTGGAAAAGAAAAAGGCCAGACTGTGCATTCAAGGGTTTCTGCAAACCTACGGCGAGGACTTCTTTGAAACGTTTGCGCCCACCGGAAAGTTCCCCTCGCTCCTCACTCTACTGGTACTAGCTAT